CCAGATGTTTACATCAATGCTGGCTTTCTAGATGCATCCTCCAGAGTACTTTAACTGGGGAGCTGAAAACCCCGCTCAGCTACGGCAGACCTGTGCTGCATCTACCAGTTCACCTGCAGCCTGCCAAGGAGAAGAGGTGGGCAGAAAGAAGACAAGGACTTTTGGCAGCACAAGGGTACTGTGTGGTCATCTGTGTGCTTCCTCTAAGAAATCTACTGTGCTAGAAACATCTTTCCCTATTTTGTTGTTCAAAAGCCCCATAGTTATAATTTTTTTTCCCCAGAAATGCATCTTCACAGTTAACAGAATTGGCTTCTTTTTGCTACCATCATTTCAGTGAGTTGAACGTTTGGCCCAGGAGAACAGTGGGAAAGGACAGACATGAAAAGGTACAAGCATGTGGGCTCTATTAAAACTGTTCTTTTGCTCAAAGTGAAAGTTTCCGCCCTGTTTGGTCTTTCATGCCAAACAGTCTCAGAAGTGTGAGTAACTGAAACAACATCCTTTGCTCTGAGAAACACATCTGTGTCTCTGCTGAGTCAGAAACCAGCAGCAGTGATGCCAGTGCACGCTTTCAAGTCAGTATCTCTGTTGACCTACTCTGCTGCTTCAAAAAACAGTAATACAAGAGGAATCTAGATGGGAATCTTCAAAATACGATGAATGTACAGGGAGACCCTTCCAGACAAATGTAAATGAAAACAATCCTGGCCTCTGAATTATGCCAGCAGCTGGAAAAGCACCAAAATGGCTGAAACTCCAGGGGAAGCATCCATCCACTTTCACCTCCATCACCAGTGTTGCTGGTGATTCAAGCTGAAGGTTTTCAGCATTGCCTAACAGTTAGCAAATGCCTTTCATGAGGAGTTGAGTCAAGTTACATCTAAATGCCTTTCTAAAACATCTGCAGAGCTCAAGTGGAAGGTATGAAGGAACACCCTTCATTTCACAATTTGTTTCAGATCAAATAATCAAGAGCCCTTTCTGTCTTTTTTAAAAGTGTGGAAACTGTAGAACAACACTGGCTTTTCAACATCACTTGCACTAGAAATTTTGCTGTCAGAGAGTTCTCTAGTAGAAACATTTCCAGATCTGAATTCTGAAAATAGCACATTTGCTGAAGCACTATGGTAGGCAAGGACTTGAAGCTTTCTTGAAGCAAGAAGGATGTTGGCCTCTGAGCAAATACCTGAAGTAGGAAAAGGACATTTGATGTTTGTCATTTTTCTATTGCACAGCAATAGAAAAGCAAAGACCTTCCCCAGTCTCTACAATCTCTGTAGAAGCCTATAAGGAAATGGCAGCATGTCTCCTAGGGCTCTCAAGTGCCAAAACTTTTCACAGCCCTCCGTGACTCCTCCAGAAGTCCAGCTGAGTTCAAAAAGCATGGCTATGTTTCAGTTCTGTCATGCAAATACACTGCTCTTTGCTGCCAGAGCTCTTGTCCATGTTTACTATAAATGCAGGTCACCTGCACTTCTTAAAGGGTCAGAACCACACCTGTGCTAAACTACTCCTACAGACAAAATAAAATAAAATTACAACCCACTGTTAGTTCCTTAAAGAAATACATGGGAAAAAATAAAATCCAATACATGTAAATGTGAATTGTTAACCTGCATAACTGAACTCATGTCAGAGTCTGCAGATTGTGTTTCTGAGCAAGAGAAGAGAACACACCACAAGCGCTTGCTGAATGTTGTATCTTATCGACAAATCTAATGTCATGCTGACAGGCAGGGCTTTGAACACGGGCAGGGAGCCAGCACAAGGCAACACACTCTCATGAGAGCATGAGCAGGACAAGGGCAATGCATCGTGCTTGTATCAACCCATGCATCTGAGCATAGGAACAGCAGCAGGACTGGGGCACCACAGTGTAGTAAGTAGATTAAGACTCCGTGGACAATATCCTTCTAAGAAAACCCACTGTTCTTAATTCTGATGCTGCTACTCAAATTACCTCCCTTGCCCTGAACACAAGACTCTTCAAGCTGAAAGGAAGCAGAGAGCCTGGTTTGCCTTTGGTTGGTAGAAATCAGATATTATTCACTGCTCTGTGGCAGAATCATCCTGCTTCAGAGCTGTTGCAAGAGGATGTTCAGGCTCTGAGTTTCTGGAAGCTGTGCTGTTTCTATTTGCAACTTAGTTGTGGTTTTAATTGCATATATCCTAACACTATCTACAAGAATGTAATCTTTGTACAAAAGAACTCTCAGCCTGTTCGCACTCCCACAAGAATCATGAATAACACTACAGACATCCTTGTGTTACACCGTGATTGCTTTGAATTACTCTGAATTACCCAAAGCAACAGATTCTCTTTGACACTGCATCCCTCTGTGGCTGAAATGAAAGTCATCATTGGAAATACTGTAGAAACTCAAACTCCAGCTGAACACGTGCATCTATTTCCCAACAGATGAGGTCTCAACTATTTCATCTGTGAACATATTACTGAGGAGGAGGAGGAAGAAAATACAGTAGGAGTTAAAAAAGAAGTCCTCACCACGTTATGAATTTCTTATGTTTTACTATACTGTAATTATACTGAAAAAATGTGATTTATTATACACTTTGTGGATTGTCTGGGCTGTTGCAGTTCACTAACAGATAACTTATTAAAAGATGTGAAATTAACAGTTTCTCATATTACCTGCATATCACAGAATTCCAGTTGTAACTGTAACTTAATGGTTCTGTACATTGTTAATAGTTGTGTACTTTCACATGGGTCATCTCTCTAGCTCTCTAGCTGGCACTGAGTGCTGCATCTGATCTACCAAGGCTGCATACTAGGATTGTCACCAGGATACAGGTGGATCTGCAAAGTGCTGGCATGCCAATAAAAGGTGGAAGGATATCTGGATATTTAATGCTAATCAACTGGCCTCAGCCACTGTTGTCTGCGTGATCCCTGTACAGAGTAATTCTGCTCCCTCTGAGAAGAATCCAAGGGCATGTTAGTATCACTAGGAGAGAACCAATGGCTATGACATGTGGCATGGTCTGGCGGGGATTTCCACTCCTGGAATTACTAATGCACGCTAACTGCATCTTTTTCCCCGCGATTCCATGAGCATTTCTTATTTTTCAGCATGTCTCTGGAGTATTAATGCAGCTTGAAAAATAACCATGTCATTTGCTCTCGTGCAGCAAGTACCATGCAAGTCAATAAACTAAGCTCTCAGGAGACATTGTGCACCTGTCTTATGGAAACAACTCACATATATTACAAATGCCATCTCTAGAAAAATCTTCTCTTTCAGAAGAGACATTTCTGAAATGTATTTTGCTGTAATACTCTGGGCATGCAGAATACATCTCTGTAGACATAGATTGATTTCTCATCCAGTGACACTTCATAGTTTTCCTGGTTTCCTTTGATACTGGTGCATTACGTTGGTAGTCAAACTATCACTTCTTCAAGGGCGTAAAGAGCCTACAAAAAAAAAACTGGAATGTTGGAGGACTCATGCTTGCCACCAAGAGAAAACACTCTTATCTACATCCAATCTGACTCATAGGCTCAAAGTATTACTTTCAGTTCAGATAGCGAGGATTTCAGCACCAGGATGGTCCTCCAGAAGGAGTGCATTATCAAAACTGGCATCAAACTTAGGTCATGGTGTTTCAGGGCAGAATTGAGATGTATTGAGAGTAACGGTGAAGTTGTAAGGACAACAAGGGAAAATGTAAGGTCTCCAGTCACAGTCTCCTTATGTTGTGGGGAGTTTAGTGTGTTGAAAGAGTCTTTCAAGCTGGAGGGAGAGATCATGCTGGAGGGGCTCTGAGCACATGATCTAGCTGTAGGTGTCCCTGATCATTGCAGAGGAGGTGGACCAGATGGCCCTTAAGGCCATCAAACTCAAATGATTCTGTGATTCTATGAAGTAGCGTATAAGAGGTGCCCAGCTCTCAGACTGCTAGAGCCAAATGAGGAGCTGTTTCCACCCCTAAAAGAACTAACAGCTGTGCATCAAACTGGAATGATCTTTCCAGATTGCACATTCAATCATTTTGGATCAAAAGGCAGCAGGAAGACAAATACTTTGTGTTTCCTCCTGTGCAGACTCCCAGTCAAGACATTTCTCATTATATGAGGCAACATTTACCCACGGAATGGAACACCTCCCCCATGAGGACAGGCTGGGGCTGTTCAGTCTGGAGATGAGAAGGCTATGAGGTGAGTGAGAGTGGGCTTTCAGCATCTAAAAGGGAGGTACAGGAAAGAAGGGGACTGACTTCTCAGCAGTGTGTGGTGAACAAGGGGAAATGGTTTCAAGATCAGAGAGGAGATTTAGCTTAGATAGAAGGAAAAAAACTTTTACAGTGAGGGTGGTGAGGCTAGGTTGCCTAGCAATGTGCTTGATGCCCCATCCCTGGAGACTTTCAAGGCAAGGCTGGATCAGGCCCTGGTCTAGCTGTGGTGTCCCTGTCCATTGCACGGGAGTTGGGCTAGACGGCCTTCAGAGGTCCCTTCAACTCTAAGGATTCTATGATTTAGGTGTCAGACACGATCCGACTGCAGAAGCACGTTACAGCATTTCAGGAAACAGCCGTTCACCTCTGTGTTAAGCAACCTGCAGCCCGATTTGAGCAGCAAATGTGATTAACGTGCACGTGCCACAGGTGACTACACGCCAAGAGATTCCATTGTAACACAGCCTTAGCCAGAGCAGTACGTTATTTAGCCATAAATCACAACCAAACAAGGAACGGCAGCTCCGGGCCTGCTTCGTAACCGATGCAAGCGCTGCCCGGCGCCGCACCGATCCCCGTCCCTGCTCCTTGGCGGGGCCGCTTCCTGGCTGTGGCGCCCGGCGGCGGAAGCGGCCCCCGGCCCCCTCCCGCCGCCATCACCGCCTCCTCCTCCTCCTCCTCCGCGTTCCCCCGCCCGCGGCCGGGCCCGCGCCGCTCGGGGCCCCGCCCATGAGGCGGCGGCGGCGGCGGCGGCGGTTGCGGCCGGGGCAGGCGGCTGCCCGAGGGGCGGCGGCGGCGGCGGGTCGGGGCTGAGGGCCCTGATGCGGCTGCGGCCGCTCCGCCGCCGGGAGAGGCCCCGCCCCGCCGCCGGGCTCCATGTACCCCAGGTGAGCGGCGCTGCGGCTTAGGGGCCTGGGGAGGTGCGCGGGCGGCTCGGGCCTGGCCCGGGAGAGGGGAACGGGATGCCAGCCGTGCAGCGCTGCCCCGCCGGGGCCGCGGGGCCGCGCTGGAGCCGGGCTGAAGTGCGACGAACATTGGCAGCCCTGCGTGCGGGGTCAGAGCCGGGGCCTGCGTGAACTGCGGCTGTTCTTCCCCGCTTCCAGGCCCGCGGTCCATCAGCATCGCGTAGCTGTGCTCGGGCGCGCTGTTCGCTGAGCCCGTGAGCGGGCGGCGGTGCCGCGATGGGCAGAGCGAAGGCTCGCGGAGCTGCCCGCGGCTGGAGGCGACGACGGTGTCCCGTCGGTATCACTCGAGGACCGGTTCGGGCCGCTCGTGCGGCATCGCGCCCCGAGGTGTGCCCCGTGACGGCTGGCTTCTCCCCAGCCTGAGGGTTTGGGTTGTTGGGCGGCCCCTGCCCTTTCTGCAGCTCTACGGCTGTTTGAGTGTCTCGGGAGGTGCAGCCGCTCGGCCAGAGGTTGTGTCACCCGCGGTGCCAGCTTTCAGTAAGGTGAGAGCATGTACCATTTCAGAACTAGGCTGTTAAAGCTCTGTAAAATGGCTATTCTGCAGAAGTGGCTCTTGTTACCATGGGCGAGGTTTGGATTGATGGTGAATTGGGGATTTTGTGTCCATTACCATCTCCCCCTCTCCCCTCACCTGGTTTTGATCTTCAAATGTAAAGTACAGATGTAATGAAATACAAATTGGGTGATGTTGTCCAAGTAATTGTGATGTTCAGCTTGCAGATTGACCTGCCATCACAATACTTTATTCATGTTGGCTTCAGCTGGAGGAAATGAGACCTTGTATTCTGGATAGAAAGCAAAGCGCTGTGCTCTGATTTGTCTTTTTGATCTGGCTTTCTACTCTCGGTCATTGCTATCAAATGAGACTAATATATTAAGTTCTTTACAGAGAGAGTGGTGAGGTGCTGGAACAGGCTGCCCAGAGAGGTTAAAGATGCCCCGTCCCTGGAGGCGTTCAAGGCCAGGTTGGATGTGGCCCTGGGCAGCCTGTCTAGTATTAAATGGGGAGGTTGGTGGCCCTGCATGTGGCAGGGGGGTTGGAGATTCATGATCCTTGAAGTCCCTTCCAACACGGGCCATTCTGTGATTCTGTAATATATCTTGGCCATGGCGTGATCACAGTGTGAGTGGCTGACGTATTTTATACTTTGCTTTCTAAGACAGACTTTTTACATGTCAGTACCTGATTTTGAGTTTGTGTTTGTTCAGCCCTTCTTCCACATGCTGCAGTCAGTACTCAGGAATGCTCTTGTTTCTGTTTCTCTTTTTTTTTTTTTTGACCTCTGCTTTCTATTCCCTGTCCTCTAGAATGAATGAAATGAACTTGAGTCCTGTAGGGATGGACCAGCTGACCTCGTCCTCTGTCAGCAATGCCCTGCCTGTCTCAGGGAGTCACTTGGGATTGGCAGCATCACCCACTCACAACACCATACCGGCACCAGGTAACGGGAGAAGCTCCCATTAAGGGTATTGCAGCTGATGCTCTTCATTTTATTGTCTTGTGAAAGCTCATAACTGGGTAAGCAGTGCTTGCCTTGAATAGCAAGTCATGTCTTTTGCAGGTAACAGAACTGTGGAAAGATAGACCATAAGCCAGTTGCTTATGTGGGAAGACAAAAGGGATGTGTTACTTACTTATGCCTTAGTGGTGGTCTCATTCAGTTCTAGTGGGTTTTTTTATATTGTGGATGGGTTTGTGGCTGCAGAGTCCTTTGAAATATGACCTGTCACTGCAAATCTGCCTCCGTTTCAGTCCATCTTTACTCAGGTGAAAATAATCTTTCATCCATAAAGCAAAACTATTTTCCTAGGTGTTCATTCAGGGGACTGCATAGACACAAGTCCATTACAATTGCAAAGTAGATTCAGATCCTACCTAGTGTGTTCAAAGGGAGATCTAGCCACATGCAGACATGTCTCTCAGTGCTGTGATAACTGTGATCCTTTCTTTGAAGCCTGTCGCCTTATGCTGACAGCACCATGTTTTACTTCCACAGTGAGCTGAGGAATTAGTAACCTCTTTGTTAGCTTGTTTGTCCATAAGCTCCTGTAGTTTCATTGAATTTAAATGGGCATTTTCTTTCACAGGTTTGCCGGTTGCAATTCCAAACTTGGGCCCCTCCTTGAGTTCCTTGCCCTCTGCTCTGTCTCTGATGCTCCCAATGGGTATTGGGGATCGAGGAGTGATGTGTGGTATACCAGAGAGAAACTACACCCTACCTCCACCGCCATACCCTCACCTGGAGAGCAGCTACTTCAGACACATTCTACCTGGTGAGTGGTCTGCTGCTGATGGATGGAAGCAAAGAGAAATTTTTTAAGAGCCCCTTGGTTTCTGTTCTGAAGCAGCTGAAACATTTTGCAGAACTTAAGTTTT